GGATCACTTGAGGCCAGGGAGTTCAAGACCAGCCTGAGCAAGAGCAAGACCCTGTCTCTACCAAAAATAGAAAAATTAGCCAGGTATGATGGCACATGCCTGTAGTCCCAGCTATATGGGAGGCTGAGGCAGGAGGATTGCATGAGCCCAGGAGCTTAAGGTTGCAGTGAGCTATGACGACACCACTGCACTCTAGCCCAGGCAACAGAACAAGACCCTGTCTCAAAAAGACAAAACAAAAAAACCACACTAAGGTACCACTTTACACTTAGAATGGCAACATAAATGGAACCTCAAATGTTATGCCAAGTGAAAGAAGCCAGATGCAAAAGACCAAATATTGTATGATTTCATTTATAAGAAATATCCAGAAAAGGCAAATCTATAGACAAAAAGCAGATCAGTAACCATCCAACTGCAAAGGAGCAAAGGGAAACTTAATAGTGATAAAAATTTTCTAAAACTAGATTGTGGTGATGTCACACAACTCTATAAACGTACAAAAAATCATTGAATCATATGCTTACAAGAGGTAGATGTTATGGTATGTAAATTAGAGATGCAAATAAATAAATATATTTTGTAAATATAAATAAATGCAAATTTTGCTAAGGGTACCAACTCACCTGATAAAGCTGGTAAAGTCAACAAATTGTCAGAAGGAAAAATTTTAACATAGAAGGTATTTAGTTTAAATCACTAGATTAAAAGCCTTCCATGGGCAATTTAACAAATCTTGCTTTGCAATTTTATGTTTCAGTTCCTTATTTTCACATTTGTCAAACAAGATTACATTACTTCACAAAATTCACAATTACCTTAATAAGAGCTTTTTTGGTGAGTTTCTGATTAACTTCAGGTTTATTCATTATGTTCTTTGCTCTATGAGCATACTCCAAGGTACTCAGAGTTTCCTGTCATGGAAAGGAGAGGTCAATTACTGAAGATATTGTGAGAATAATGTAATTCTGTTATCTAAAATGTACTATATAATAACTTACATGTAATAATTTATGGTTATATATAATCTAAAAATCTCCTCAGTAAGACTACTATACCCAACCTTTAAAAACGAAGTTGTTAAAAAGATCCTAATCTTTTTCTTTCCCTTCTCTTCAATTTTCAGGGTCTTTAGCCTTATAGTTTGACCCAATAATTTCTTCCTTTAGACTAGTGTTAAACTCAATAAATTCCACCAACTGATGAATAAACGAAATGTCCTATATCTATACGATGGAGTACTATTCACCCATTAAAAAAAAAGGATACCTACTACAACCTGGCTGAATATTGAAAACATTATGCTAAGCAGCTGGGCATGGTGGCTCATGTCTGTAATCCCAGCACTTTGGGAGATGGGAGGTGGGAGCACCGCTTGAGGCCAGGAGTTCAAGACCAGCCTGGCAACATAGCAAGACCTGCATCTCTACAAAATATATTAAAAAAAAACAAACAGCCAGGCATGGTGGCAAGTGCCTGTAGTCCCAGCTACTTGGGAGGATCGCCCAAGCCTAGGCATTCCAGGTTGCAGTGAGCTCTACAACCGACTATAGTCCAGCCTGGGCGACAAGAGCAAGACTCTGTCTCTAAAAAAATAAAAAGAAAACATTATGCCAAGTAAAAGAAGCCAGTCACAGAAGACCACATGTTATATAATCCCACTTACATGAAATGTCCAGAATAGACAAATCTATAGACACAAATAATAGCAGAAACCTAGGGCTGGGAGTGGGGCGGATAGAAAATGATTGTCAGTGCGTACAGGTTTCTTGCTGGGGTGATGAAACTTAGATTTTGGTTGTTCCAAACTTAGATTTTGGTGATGGTTGCACACAAATTTGGGAATTACTAAAATCATTGAATTGATATACTTTAAATGGGTGAATTTTATGGTATGTGAATTATATCTTAATAAAGATATTTTTTTAAATGAAGGGTAAGTTGAAGAACTTATAAAAACTTTCTAAATGCCATTTAAAGATGATAGAAGTAAAATAAGAATAGATTTTATCATCGTTGTTGCTTCTCTTGCTTTTTCCCTCTGTTCCCACATCATCCAACACCGTTCTCAGTGCTCTCTAAGCAGCCTCTATAATACTAGCATTCACTTGACTCACTTCTAAGTCCTGAATTAGATCTCTATACATCACTGTCTGCTAATGACCACAGCAATTTTCTTTGAAGACTATGTGGAAAGTCTTTAATTAACTAACTTTTTAAGATTAAAACCTCTGCCAGGAAGGAAAATGATAACTTTTTCAGTAGTACCCTCTGGCATACATCCATATGCAACGTCCAGATTCGTTTGCACTATAGCATAGAGTAAATAAAGCCAGTAAATGAACTTTTAAAATACGTGATACCTAAATAAGAATTATAGCTACTACACTTGCAGCTTCCTTTCAAAGGGCTTACCTCAAGATTGAGAGATGCAGGAGAAATTGTTGCAATTATAGATGTTCTTGTACGCCCCCCAAGAGAATCCTGGAGGATTCTAGTTAGTTTAGATTCTCGGTAAGGAACATGAGGTGTTCTTTCTACAAGAGCAGTAATAACCCTTCCCAAAGTCAACAGAGATTGATTGATATTTCCAGCTTCCCGAGCTCTCTTGTCAACAGCTCCAGAACGGCCAATGTTTTCACTTCCCGCAAGATCAACCTTTAATTTTAAAAATAAAAATAAAAAACTGATCTATCTTTAGATTTAAAGACTTTTATTCTCGTGATATATATAACGTATTAAATAGCCAGCAAAATAATTTTTCTATAATTAAGAAATTTATTCTCCCACTACAAAGCTAATAACAGTGACTTACAAAAATATTGTCTGTAAGTACAAAATTTCAAGCTGCTCTATGAGGTGGTCAAGAATGAAACAGTAATATTAAGGGTGATGCTTACCAAGTTCAACTTTCCAATTTTAACAAGCTCTTCTCCATCATTTGTAGTTTCTTTCATATGTATTGTAACAGAGAAAACTGAGTGGGAACGACTAGAAAACAAGATGAAATTGCTCAATCATTATAATTTAAAACATTATTTGCTTCCTCTAAAATACTGAAAACAGTAAAAGAAGATCTAAATCCACAAGGGTATAGAAAGATAATATCAGACAGGAGATATCAATAAGCCTTTAGAAGATAGAAGATGGATAGAACAATGATTAGGATTTTGCTTTCTACTGTCTGATGCCTGCAGGGTAGTCTCCAATAAAAAGCTACCTAAAAACACCTCAAAAGACTTAGGAACTAGAATCCTCAGGCACCTCTGAAAGCCAGATGTGGAGCGGGGTTGGGACAGTTGCCTGGTGTATCAAGAGGAGAAGACTTGCAATCAATCTTCCTATTCACAAGAACAAGTAAGAATGAATGCAAGTCTTCTCTTTATCATATACATTCACAAAAAGTGATCATTACTCAAGTCTAAATATGTGAAAAAAGGAATTCCTAAATTATACAAATTTATAGAATAGAAATTTTATACTTCAGTGAAAGGTATTTAGATAACAGAAATGTTACCTAGTCTGCAGTTCATTTCTCCAAATTCTATATAAAATTATCAAATAAGTTATAAAGCAACAATGGAATAAAATTTCCATTTTATTGGAAAGCCATTACAGGGAAAATTTAATTAAAATTTTAAAATCACCTATATAATCACTTTTATGTTATGTTTCTTTCTTTAAATGCATACTTTTTTTTAGTTGCAACTATAACTGTTATGGCATTTTGTAGAAATTTTCAACTAAAAAAACAAAGAAATAAGACATCTAGTCCTAACAATTATTTTATAGCTTAAAGAAACTGATATTCAAGGGCCAGGTGTGGTGGCTCATGCCTGCAATCCTAGCACTCTGGCAAGCTGAGGCAGGAGGATCGCTTGAGGTCAGGAGTTCGAGACCAGCCTGAGCAACAGCAAGACCCTGTCTCTACTAAAAAAAAAAAATAGAAAAAATTAGCCGGGCAACTAAAAATAGAAACAAAAAATTAGCTGGGTGTGGTGGCGAGCACCTGTAGTCCCAGCTATTCGGGAGGCTGAGGCAGGAGGATCCTTGAGCCCAGCAGTTTGAGGTTGCTGTGAGCTAGACTGATGCCACGGCACTCACTCTAGCCCAGGCAACAAAGCGAGACTATCTCAAAACAAAAACAAAAAAAACTGATATTCAGATAAATTCACTTATTTACCCAAAGTGACATATTTAGTTAACTGCAAAACTAAGACTAAACGTGAATATCTAACTCCCAATCCATTGCTCTTTCCATCACATTCTGATGCTTCCTTCAAAAGCCAGCAAGAAAAAAAAAATCACCTCTGTCTTAGTAAACTACATTTGTAGAATTTTAGACTTGTCCTATAGGGGTCTTGATTCAAGTCTACCTACAAGAAAAAAGGAGTTCCTAAGTCATATAAATTTATGGAATAAGAATTTTATGTTCCAGTGAAAGATATTTAGAGAAAAGAAATGTTACGTGTCCCTTTCACCTCAGAAAAGCCAGTGTTAGTGACCATCTGTCTCCCTACATTAAAATAAAGCTGTTTTAAAATGAAGACTTGACTTTCTTCTAATCCTCATTCAAACCAAAGTTTTCAAATTATGCTCTAATATCAGTAGGGGCTCCTCAAAAGTACTTCTCAAGGGCCACCTTTGTAAGGCTGAGGAGGTAAGCCTCTGAGTGTCCCATCCCAAAATCAACTACAGCAGCTACATTTTAATCTGGGCTTCAATACACAATTTCATTTGAAAGAAAGGATTCAGCTTACAAAAAATTTAATATTTCTGCTCTAGTTCAACTTTTCTTCTTCTCCTTTTAACATTCTTCCAATTTCGGTGCCCGGTATATAAATCTCAAGCCAATTACCAAGGCCTCCTCCTTATAACACAAAATCTAGGTATGTGATGATGCACATACCCTGACCCACTCCAATTTGACTTCCCCCAAGTCCCTAATTCTTCTTAGAAAATGGGACCAGGGAGGAGACTATGGCTTTCTTACCTAGAGTATGCATTCATCAAAGTGGCTGCAGTTGTCCTTTTTGCTGCCCCCTTTTCCAAAATTTGATAGACTTCATCTTTGTTGTGTACTGTAATTTCTTCTAAACCTTTGATTATCACTCCTCTCTGTGCAAAATATCAAAAGAACATCCATTAGATTGGTAAAAGAATATATATGTAGTGACTTCTCAAAATCTCACACAATTAAAATTTGGAGACATTTCATTCTCAAAGGCTGAGTTACCTTGTTTCGGGGATCATCAAACATCTGCAACCTCTCAGAAACATCAGAAGATGGACTAAGAAGATCAAAAAGTTCTTCATTATAGATTTCCAACAGAGACACTTTGACTGAAAATTCAGTACCATTATCAGTAAGTTTCTCAAAAATTTGATGAAGAGTACGTGGAATTATACCAGCCAAGGGATCCTGAAATTATAATATTAATAAGGGTTAATATAAAGGAAGAGTGCCATTTACTGTAGCAGTTAAAACACAAGGGCCTCTTTTATATTTAAGTATGCCCAAACAAGTTAACAACAAAAAAAACCACTAACCTAATGTTAGAGAAGTCACTTACAATAGTCTGTTCAACAGTATTCTTTGTATCTTGCACAAACCTGACATACCTGCTAGTCATCTTCATGCCTGAGCATTACATAGAAAGCAACTGAAGCAGGCTACTTAAAAGGACAAGTTCAATGATCCTGCCCAACCAAACTATGCTTTAATCCTATTCCATATCTCCTATGGTTATAATTCCATAATTTTATTATCCATATATAAAGTAAGTTAATGACTTAACTATGTAACCACTAGAAAAAAGGAGCTACCTAAATATCAATAATTGGAAAATTAGTTTAGTTATTAAATTCATTTAAATTTAAACTCATTTGATGATAATCTTTGTGCAATGTACTATTAATATATGGTTTCTATAATATTAAATACAGTAATCTTAACTTCTTGAACACCCATGGTCATCATTAATAAAGTTCTATATTGCCCCTTGCTATGCTAACTTTTTGAGACTCATTCCGTCACTACAAAGACCTCCCCGTCAAGCCCCACTCATACTCCAACTTTTTAACAATATTCTGCTCCAACCGTCCTGTCCCAAACAGACCCCTATTTTATCACTTAACTGTGGCATATATATTGGTCCTTTCTCTCCCAGTGAGATGGTGTTTCTTAAACAGGTGTCATACCATACATTTTAATTTTACTATAGCAGTAGTTTATCCTGAACTCATGTTTGACATGGGTACTCTGATCTTCTCTATTTCAAGACAATGGCCCTCAACCAAATTTTATTCAGATAAATTTCAACCAAGTATGTTATAAACAATAAATACCTCTTCCCATGTATACTCTTCATTAGGTGACCTTTCACCTTCCATTGTAAAGGTTTTTCCAGTGCCAGTTTGGCCATATCTGTCAAGATTAACAAAAGTATTAAATTAAAAAATAAATACATGCATCTAAACTTTTTCATCAACTTGAAAAATAGTGTTTCACTTACGCGAAGATAGTGCAATTATAGCCCATAATAACTTCATCCAGAATTGGACAGACAACACTTCGGTAAACATCAATTTGTTTAGTAGATGCTCCAAAAACCTATCAAAAAAATGGTTTTTTCTTACAGAAAGAAAACTCAAAACTACTCATTTTAATGATTTTGTTTTTAGAATATTAACTCATTCGGTCTATTAGAAATCATCTGACAAATTGAAGAGACAATTGAAATTTGTAAGTGTACACCATTTTCCAGATGAAATACGTATACTAGCATTACTTTACATTACTGGATAATTAATAAGTTGCACTATATGTTACCATATCAAAAGTGTATGTTTTCCGTGAGCTCTTGTCAGCCAATCCTCCAGTTCGTACACTAACTTCTTTTCGTACATGATCACATTCTACTATTGAATGGGCGTTAGCTTTCCGTTCTGTCAAATTAAATGGTCTGTAAAAAGAAATACACAAAGTTGTTCAAAAACTCTTAATCAGGTTATCAATAACATTTTCATGAACTATATTAGACAAGAAAAATGTGAAGTGTGAAGTTCTGACTACAGTTAGCGATGGGGATTATATGGGGACTAAATGATACTGCTAAAGCAGATAGTAGAATTATAAGGGTCTCAATTCCCAGAAATAAAATTTGGCTTTTTTAAATCTTCAAAGATATGTAAACATTACAATTCTGACAGCTTCTTAGAGTAGATGCTAACATAATTTATAATAACTTGCAAAAAATGCCAAATTTGTTTTTCAAAATTCTATTTCCACTATTCTTAAAATCTGATCAAGTTAGGTTATGATATAGTGGAAAGAACATGTCGAATTTGTATTAAAAATACTAACCTGCCAGTGAATACCCAGCACAAAATAAAAAGTAGATAAAAATAATAACTAATATATTAAGCACTTACTATGTGCCAGGTACTCATTGTTACAAGTGCTTATGTGCTAACTTGCTTTGACTTCACAAGACTGGGAGGTTAGTAATATTATTAGCCCCATTTTTCAAAGAGGAAACATGTACAAAAAGGCTACATTGCCTAAGCAGATTAGTTCAAGAGTCCTCATTTTACCAAAAGGCCTAAGGAGTATATAGCTTAAAAGATTACTTCCTTAGGGAGTCCTTCCCATCACATACCTCCCCCACCTACCCCAACCAAGACAACAATAAATTTTTGTTATATGTTCCTAAAGCACCCCTATACACCTTTCTAAATATCACTTCTCTTATAATCATTTGTTTTATGTCACTGTTTCCCATTAGACCTCAGATTACAAGGGAAAAAAATCTTGTTTAGTTTACTGTTTCCCCAGTGCCCACTATCATGCTTAGCACACAGTAGGCATTCAAACATTTGTTAAACTACATTACCTGATAAATGTCATCCTAAGAGGAATGATGGGAAACTAAAAAGAACCACAGTCCACAGAGTAGCATCAGTAAGATATTTATATACTTAATACATATCTGCACCAAAGGGAAGATAAACTCTTGACCTGGGTTCATTTTTCCCATTGAGTATCACATGTTTTGAAAGGAAATGCCCAATAAGATATTATATTCCCCTCATCACTAGGCAAATCAAGTTGCAATTTATTTAAGAAGGATACCTCAACTTCCCCTAGCATACTCTATGCCCTAGCATACTTTTTTTTTTTTTGAGACAGAGTCTCACTCTGTCAGCCAGGCTAGGATGCCATGGTGTCAGCCTAGTTCACAGTGACCTCCAACTCCTGAGCTCAGGCGATCCTCCTGCCTCAGCCTCCTGAGTAGCTGGGAATACAGAGGCACACCACCACACCTAGCTAATTTTTTTTTTCTATTTTTAGTAGAGATGGCTAATTTTTTCTATTTTTAGTAGAGACGGGGTCTCACTCTTGCTCAGGCTGGTCTCGAACTCCTGAACTCAAGCAATCCTCCCTCCTTGGCCTCCCAGAGTGCTAGGATTATAGGTGTGAGCCACCACGCCTGGCCTCCTAGAATACTTTTGAGTGGTCTGAAGACCAAATCTATGATCCTGGGAAACTTAACAACTCCCAGGTAATATATGGTGATGCTATCATTTACCAGCTGGACTAAAATGTACACAATGCATGCAACCCACATGAATATGCAGTATTATTAAAAGTTCAAGCCAGGTGCAGTGGCTCACATCTGTAATCCCAGCACTTTGGGAGGCCAAGGCAGGAGGATCACTTGAGCCCAGGGGTTTGAGGATGCAATGAGCCATGATCATGCCACTGCACCCCAGCCTGGGTGACAGAGTGAGACCTTGTCTTTAAAAAACAAAACAAAAGTTCAACAAAACTAAGTCAAAACCAACTTATACTGAGGTAGGCCAAGAGTTATCAGGTGGAGTGAATTGCTCTCATGTGGCTAAAGCTTTTCCAATTAGTCTATTTTTGGCATCACTAAATTAATCTCTTGCCTGGACGTGTTACCAGATGAATACCATTCACATTGTCAGGACTGAGTAATAAGAAATTCTTACAGATCACACATTCCTAAAAATTATCAAAACTCCCAGAGAAGCTTTAGGGACTGTATTTGTACTATAAGAAAGAGTAAGGCCAAGCCATTATTTTCCTACCCAGATTTCTCTAACTTATTAGAAATTGCAAAGTTTCTGCTGATCACACTAACAAACCCATCAATTTGTTGACCTCACTACAGTTATATAAAAATTCAAACAATGAAAATGGTGAGGGAAAGGAGACTGAAGATTTTTAAAAAGTACTATCCTGTGGAGAAGTATTAAATTCACTCTTTCCACACATATTCATTAAGTACTTATTATGTGATAGGTACTTTTCTAGACACTGAGGATATAGCAGTGAACAAAACAAAGTTTTAAAAAAAACCGAGTTCCTGTTCTCAGGGAGCTTTTAACCTAGTTGGGGGTGGGAGGAATGACTATCAAACAAATAAATATATTAGGTGCTGATAAATCAGAAATGAAAATAAATAAAGCAGATTAAGGAGGATAGGATGTGATGATGGGGGAAGATAGGTGGTTGTGATTTCAGGGTGGTGAGGAAATGCTTCTCTGATGGTGATATTTAAGCAGAATATTAAAAGTTAGGGAGCCTGGCCGGGCGTGGTGGCTCACGCTTGTAATCCTAGCTCTCTGGGAGGCCGAGGTGGGCGGATTGTTTGAGCTCAGGAGTTTGAGACCAGCCTGAGGAAGAGCGAGACCCCGTCTCTACCAAAAATAGAAAGAAATTAATCGGCCAACTAAAAAATATATAGAAAAAATTAGCCGGGCATGGTGGCGCATGCCTGTAGTCCCAACTACTCGGGAGGCTGGGGCAGTAGGATCGCTTGAGCTCAGGAGTTTGAGGTTGCTGTGAGCTACGCTGACGCCACGGCACTCACTCTAGCCAGGGCAACAGAGTGAGACTCTGTCTCAAAAAAAAAAAAAAAAAGTTAGGGAGCCAGTCATGCAAATATTTTGGTAGAAAATCTTTCCAGGCAGAGAGAACAGAAATTGCAAAGGCCCTGAGGTAAAAGCATAGTAGATACATTTTTAAAATGTGTGTGTGCTTAAACAACCAGGGATTAAAAAAGAAATCACAAGGGAAATTTGAAAATACTTAGAAATAAATGAAAACACAACATAACAAAACTTATGGGATGCAGTAAAAACAACTGTTAAGGGGGAAATTTATAGCTATAAAAGTTTATACCAAATAACATTGCTGGACACAGTGGTTCACGCCTGTAATTCCGGCACTTTGGGAGGCCAAGGTGGGAGGATCGCTTGAGGCCAGGACCAGGAGTTCAAGACCAGCCTGAGCAACATAGCAAGTAGCGAGACCCTGACTCTACAAAAAATAGAAAAAATTATCTGGGCATGGTGGTGTGCTCCTGTAGTCCCAGCTACTGGGGAAGCTGAAGCAGTTGGATTGCTTGAGCCCAGGAGTTTGAGGCTGCAATAAGCTATGACTGCACCACTGTACTCCAGCCTGGGTGACAGAGCGAGGCCCTGTCTCAAAAAAAAAGAAAAAATACTAGCAAACTGAACTCAGCAGCATATTATAATAAAAGGATGATACACCATGACTAAGCAGGATTTATTCCTAGAATGCAAGTATGGTTTAACATATAAAAATTGGTCAATGAAATATACCACATTAACAGAATCAAAGAAAAAAATTCCATAGGATGTCAATTGATGCAGAAAAGGCATTTGACAAAATTCAAAACCCTTTCATGATAAAAACATTCAACACAATAGGAGTAGAGGGAAAGTACCTCAATAAAATAAAAGCCGTATATGAAAAACCCATAGCAAACATTGTAATCAATGGTCAAAGACTTAAAGCTTTTTCTCTAAGATTAGGAGCAAGGCAAAGATTCCCACTTCCACCACTTCTATACAACATAGTACTGGACATTCTAGCCAGAGCAATTAGGCAAGAAAAAGAAATAAAAAGCAACCAAATTAGAAAAGAAGAAGTAAAATTATCTCTGTTTGCAGTTGATATAATCTTATATGTAGAAAAGCCTAAAGATTTCACCAAAAAAAAAAAAATCCTCAGATTTAATAAATGAATTCACAACAGTAGCAAGATACAAAGTCAACAGGCAAAAATCAGTTGCATTTGTATACACTAACAACGAACAATCTAAAAAGGCAATTACAAAAACAATTCCATTCAAAATAGCATCAAAAAGAATAAAATACTTAGGAATTAATTTAATCAATGAAAATAAAACACTTTTGAAAAAATTAAAGACAACGTAAATAAATAGAAACACATCCAATGTTCATGAACTGGGAGACTTAATATTAATACTACCCAAAGTGATCTATAGATTCAATGTAACCCCTATTAAAATCCCAATGAGGAGCCAGGCGAGGTGGCTCATGCCTATAATCCCAACTACTGGGGAGGCTGAGGTGAAAGGATAGTTTGAGCCCAGGAGTTTGAGTCCAGCCTGGGCCATATAGCAAGACCCTATTAAAAAAAAAACAAAAAAACTCAATGGCATGTTTTGCAGAAACAGAAAAACCCATTCTAAAATTCATATGGAATCTCAAGGGACTCCAAATAGCCAAAACAATCTTCAAAAAGAACAAAGCTGAAGGACTCATACTTCCTGATGTCAAAACTTACTACAAAGCTACAGTAATTAAAACCATGTAGTACTGACATAAAGACAGACACATAGACCAACAGATTAGAGCCCAGAAATAAACCTTCTCACATATGGGCAAATAATTTTTGACAAGGATGCCAAAACCATTCAATGGAGAAAGGACAGTCTTTTCAACAAATGGTGCTGGGAAAATCTGGATATCTACATGTAAAAGAATGAAATTGGACCCTCGCCTAACACTATATATAAAAATTAACTCAAAATAGATCAAAGACTTCAATGTAAGACCTAAAACTATAAAACTCTTAGAAGAAAACATAAGGCAAAAGCTTCATGAC